AGCCAGTGTCTTAAACACTGCACCACTTTTCCTGCAAGGCCCACACAGTCTGCACAATGGAGAACGAGACCTCGGATCACAGCTCGACCTAAGCTTTGACCTGAACTTTGTGTTTTGTTCTCACCTGTTGCAAACTGTCCACATAAAAACAGTGTATATTCCACAGCACTTTCTCAGAAGCTGGAGAATAATTTCCTTCCACTAGCAAACATACTTTTTGGGTTGTGTGGCACAACAGCAAAAGCCAATACAGTTTTTCATTACTTTTTCATTGATAACATGCTGCATCTGCATGTTAACATGAAGGTCAGTAGGAATGTACACAATACAAAGAAAATGAGTAGTTAATTATTGCTAGACTGCAAGAAGGGGAAACACATGCTTTAATTCGGTTTAGAAAAGAGCAAAACATGAGAACTGCTTCTTCTAGGCTGTTTTTTCATTGGAAGGAATACATAGAGTAAAATTCATGGTAACTGGAGGCTATTTAATGTGTTTGGAGTATCACAGATAAAAAATTCCCTCTCATCATTTGGAGTAATCTCAGTTTGGAATAATTACAATATTTAGCAAGAAAAATCCCACTTGCTTTTTTTCAAAATCCCATGGGAATTTTATTGCTGAATATTATATTCATTTATTGAGATTGTTCCTTCTCCCACATGTGTATAATCTGGCTATTTGCCCATATATTTTGCCATATTTACTCCTTCTCAAGTGTTTGTACTTGAGGGTTTCATTGCACTTTCATCAACAATCTGCAGTACTTCAAAACCAAGCTGTATTTAGACCAAAATGCTAGATTTGCTCTTTATGGACCAAGTTTTAATAATTTCAAAACATCAGCAAACAACAGGCCAAAACCTAGTACAAGAAGTTTCTGTTGGGATGTCTAACCACTGTTTAAAACTTTCCTTCCGTCCTTCAAGGGCTGAAGGTGTATTTGCTGTTCACCATCCAGCTATAATAAATAAGCAAAATATATTAATGTAACAGGGTAGAGAGAATTGTTTTAAAAATATTCTAAGAAGGCATTTTTACCAAAAAAATCAGAACAACTTAACCAAAACTAGCAAAATTTTTAATTGCTCTGCAGAATGCAGGCCTAGTCCCTCCCAATCACCAAATTAATAGTAGTCAGAGGTTATGAAAATAGTGAAGAACCCGTACTTCCAGGCAAGAGTCCTGGAGAGCAGAGTTCACCACACTGAACTTCACCTGTCACTGGGTACTATGTCAAGCATCCATGAGCAGAACAAAGCATTGTCTCAAAGCCAGCTGCAGGACTAGGACCTCACACATGGGAATCGGGCAAGTCTCCAGGCAACTGGTACATGCCAGAGCAATCAGAAAATTTCTGTGTAAACTCTGGATAATTATTGCAGTACATATACCTTGTTGACTTTACAGTTTTATCCAGACAGAATAAAAATTTGTAAAAGACATTCACTATCCTAAAGCTTTAAAGCCATGGTCCATCAGCCCACTTTATTAGGTGGAACGTGAATGGGAAATGATGCTCATTAATACCAATGTACACTGTTCTTAGAGTTTAGATTCACTCAGTAGTACTCAACTGATATAAAGCTCTATACAAACGCAATTACAAAACTTACTGAGCTTTTCTGCACCGGAAGGAATTCATGATCACGACCACAAACATGTATATAGCTCTATAAAAGCTCAAAAATTGAGTTCAGGTACTCAAATGTTTTGCAATATTTAGGTAACATGAAGGTAAAAGGCTCAGCACCTGCCACCAGCAGCCACTGTTCAGAAGGCATCTAACATTTTTCTAGGCAAGATCCAGACTCAGCAAATTGCTCAACTTTACAAAGTAAAGGAGTAGCAGAGATTCTCTTCTCTCTAAACCCCAAACTAAGTAATTTCACATTCTCTGATGGTTCCACACTACCATGATACATGATTTTTAAGCATTTGTGTCACCAAGTGACTGAAGCTGCATGATGGAAAAATTCCCATATTCCCTGAAAAATCTCTGGTCTGCAGCTTGTCAGTTAGACGGGAGTATCTACATTTCAGCAATGTTTTATTTTCACTGAGGAGGTATTTTAGATAAAAAAACTTCACTGAATTGGTCTGATGCATGAATGTTTTGTCAAAGAAAACAAAAAACCAAGGCTCCCTCATTTCTGCAGCTTCACTGAAGAAAGGTTTTAATTATAAAAACTTCTTTTTCAGCTCTATTCTTTTCACAGCAAACACAGAATTAGCTTTGTGACAATGTTGCTCTGTTCTATGTAAAGAAACTTCAGACTGAAAGAAGGTGGGTTTAGATGAGATTTGAGGAAGTTCTTCACTGTGAGGATGATGAGGTATTGGCACAGGTAGCTCCGAGAAGCTGTGGATGCCTGGAAGTGTTCTAAGCCAAGCTGGATGGGGCCTTGAGCAGCCTGCTCTAGTGGAAGGCGTCCTAACTCATGGCAGCAGGGTTGGAACTGATACCTTAAGTTTTAGCTTTCGTATTTTCCAGATTCTGTACTGCTTTAGTATAACTCTGAACTTCATATAAAGTGTTAGCAAGTTCTCTTTACAGTTTAGTTAGACAAAACAATCCTTTTCCAGCTGTCATGGTTTGACACTGGCACAATGCCAGTGCCCCCCATGAAAATGCAGTTTCTCAACTGAATGCTGTGAAATGCGATCGAGAATAGAGCAAAGCAGGCCCAAGCTTAATAACAAGAAAAAAAACTTTGTTAAACTACTACCACTATGCTTCTATGAAAGAGGGAAAAAAAAAAGAAAGAAAACACACACAATTCGAAATGAAAACCTTCCAAAGCATTCCTCCTCCCACCACCCAACTCCAACAAACTACAGTGAGACACAATCTGGACCCCAATCAGGTTTCCACCCTCCAGATAATCAACACCCAGTCCATCTGCAGGGAGATAGGAGTCTCTTCTGTGCCACAGACCCCCCAAGAAACACAGCTGCCACATCCTGTGCTTCCATGTCACCACATGGCACCGCCCGGAGAAAAAAGTTTGCCAGTGGTGACCCTCTCCTTTCCATGCACAGTGCTCTCACCACCAATGCATGGATGGACAGACTGCTTTTAGGATTTTTCCTTTCAAGGATGCCCTGCCAAGAGGGGAAAAAACAACAGTTCAGTTTTTCATTTTTGGGACCAACAGTCCCCCCCATCTTCCCCTGGGGCCGAGGATCCAAGAACAGAGATCTTCTTCTCTTCTTCCTCTCTGAAGACAGGGGGCACCACTACAAACCTCCTTAACTTTTTCTGTTCGCTCCACTTCTGTCTTTTCCCAGCTGAAGCATGGTCTCTTTGGCTCACCGGCATCCTCCTAAAATACAGTCTCTCTTGGAGGAGAAGATCAGTTCAGTCTGTGGCTAACAAGAAAAAGTCCAGCCAAAAGCCACTCTATCATCTCCTCCCACCTAGGATTTCTCCTTCCAACATCCCAGGTCCCAGGCTGTCTCTCTTCCTCTCTTTTCAAACCAAGGAGGAGAAAAATTTCACAAAGCTTTCATTTCTCAGGAAGGGTTAAAAGTCCCAACTCCCAAGGATGGCTCGCTGCCCAGGCTCCAGCTCCCACAGCCCGGCTGGGCACCTTGCGGCCCCCCCGCTCTTCTCCTTCCCCGCGGCGAACTGCTGATAAAACCACTGCCGTCTCTTTTTCTCTCTTGGGAGAGAGAGAGACTCTGGGGGGAATGGAGACATCCCAGATTTTGTCCACCCTTCCATCTGCAGGGGGCCAGCCCGGTTCCAGTCCCTCCACCCTTGGGCCTACCTCCGAAGGCCACATGGCTTCTCCCCTCCCCCACCCAGCTCGTGGCCGGGCAGGGGAGAGTCCTGCACTGACCGCTGACCGGAACCCAAGAGAGCGAGTTCTCCTGGGAATTCTGCTTTTAACCCCTCTGTGTTCTCAGAGGCGTGTTCACCTTCAATTGGTCAATGTCCAAATTGACCTCTTCCTTCCGGAAAAATTCTTTTTCCGTGTCAAACCATGACACCAGCCTGAGATCCAAGGACACCATTGAGGCTTCAGGCCCAACAAGTGTAAACAATGGCAAATTGAAGAAAGCAATTTGGGAGGATGGGACTTCATAACCTGAAGCTGTAATTGGACAATTAACCCCAATATGTAAACAGGCCAAAACTTACAAAAGTGTGAAAACTTGGGATCAGGCACTCTTCTTGGGTGTAGCCTTGGCCAGGCTCTTGCACTGCCCAAGGTGTATCCTTTGAAGGCCTTTTAATAAATACCTACTTTATTCCTTTTACATGTCTAGCCTCTATTCTTGAGGTAGCCTCTCAAGGCATCAGAACTAGATGAGCTTTAAGGTGCCTTCCAACCCAAACCAATCTATGATCCCTACACTGAGTGGGTACACTCACTCTGGCTCCAACCATCATGCAAAATGACCTGAGAACTCAAAGGAATCACATATGGCCACATTCTCCCAACAAGCAGACAGAAAATGCTTAGAGAAAATTCTAATGCTTAGAGTGATAATAGAAGGCTAAATAAAAATTAACTAGTAGGAGGATAGGCATGTCTGAGTGGGAGAGTGATGACAAAGACAGGTAGAAATAAAATAGCAAGTAACAGAATGGCAGTTTGGAAAGTAACACTGTAAACATGGAGTCTTTCATCTGTTTTCCCAATAGAAGTATGTGATGTCCAAAAAGATGACAAACATCTGCTAATGTTAGGAATAACACTCTGCCCATACATTTTTCAAAGTATACAGCATCCTGCAATGATCTTTAGAATGTTGTGTGTCCTAAATCTACTCACTTAACTACAATAATTTTCTCCAAGTTGAGTCTGTTTTGCCTGCAAAAGAAACTGGTAAGAAATCTCCTTGTGTTTATCCAGACCCACAAGCTCTGTCACTCTATTTACTCTCCTTGTCCAGTGGAGGAGCAGGAGTAAGAATGGCCAGGGGGACATCTGGCAGGCAGCCAAGGTACCTTCCACACAAACTTGCAAAACAATGAAAAAAAGCATAAAGTGGTTTAAATTTTTTAATGTACAAATTTACACTCACCATATTGTAACTTTCAAACTAGGGAGGAAATTGCAGCAGTCTGCATGATTTATTATCCATAATTTACAAGTGTACAGATTAGAAGAAAATCCTTTCCCCTTTTTTCAAGGAAATAAATATTTCATTTCTATACTCAGTAATCATCCAGCTTTCTAACAGCCTGTGAGCTATGCAACAGCATTCTCTCTCAAAACTAGCATGCTTTAATCTCTTGGGATTCCAACCAGTAGCCTTTGTTGCTCCTCAAGTGCCCACACAGCATATTCAGAATTCTGCTCCAGTTACACCTAAAAACACACTTCAGTGAGAGAAGCGCAGCTGAAGACATCCATCTTCAGTTTTGCAATACATCCAGCTGCCAGTTACTTTCTTCCAAATGGATCCGACCACACTTTTAACCCTACAAATCAAACATCAGAATACCAGCTGTTGATAATTTAGACTGTCGGAGAAAAAAAAAACCCAAAAAAACAGGTCTGCTACTCCAGCTTTGTGTATTATAAACAATGAAAGAAGCCAACAATTTCTGCCTGAATTTGCAACTCTGCTTAAACTTGGAAAAATATACAGAAAGACAACCTCATCTTGATCTTAAAACTTCAGATATTGGAAAAATCTATCACATTCATAGGTAAGGTGTTCTAATATTGTTGTATCAATCATTTAGAATTGCACCTTGCGCTTACATTGGTCCAGGTTTCCTTTTTTTGTAACTTATCAGCAGCTAAATTCAGACTAAAAGGAGAACTTACACTAAGAAGAACTGGTCATTAAGTACCTACATCTTGGCTAAATGAGCCAGTCCAGTCCTCTCAAATGTTTAGTAAAAAAGATTTAGAAAGCCCTCTATTTCACAATACCCTTCCTACTTCTCTTCAGCATTTCCTCCACTTCCCTGGAAAGCAAGTCCTGCACTAATGATCTAACCACTGCATGTAATACGGTCATGGCTTTAATCCTATTTGATTTTCACCTGCCTTTTTGTTTTGTTTTGTTTTTTATTTTTCAAAAACAAAAATACACTACCCTTTAACATATTCAGATATTACATGTTTCATCAAGACAGGCATTCTTACATCTTTAATCAAGAAATGCCAGCCTTTTGTAGCCACTCCATTTAACATTATAAAAAAATGAACTATCAAGGATAGTCTGCTATACTTGAGTTTTACTTCCCTCATATGCTTTTCTAAGCCTCCCACTGTCAACAGCAAGGATCCAAAAGCTATTAGCACTGCATTCCAAATTTTCCTTCACATGTAGTGGGTTTCTGCACGGCCCATCCATCCATGAGGCCAGAAGGCACTGCCAAAGTGTTGATGAACTGTGTTTCAGCAGAGTTGGGTATTCCACAAAACTAGGGTGCAACATTGTTCTTTACAGCTACAGCTCAGCCTATCCATGGTTCTTGCTTGCTCTGAGCTGATTCAGAAGTGGAAACTGGCTTCTATTTAACAAAGCGTGAAGACAACAGAAACTCTGCAACTTATTTGGCCAGTTAAGTCACTTTCAGATAAGTTTAATTAAAACTGTAATTTTTCAGTGAGGAATTAGCCTGAAAAAATAATTTAATGGCAAGATTATTAAATACGTTTTCACTGAATATATTCTTCACTGTATTATTTAAATCCATATAAATACTGAGGCCTTACTTCAAGAGGGTCTTTAAAACAATCAATGCAAACACATAAATCAAGTGTACCTGCAGGCTGAATATCCTCTTGAACAATACCAGCTCGGTTTATTGACTGTTCTTTCTCTGGAAAACAGAACAGAAAGGACACTACTAAAAAAAAGAAAATACCAGATATCCTGGTTGCACCCAATAAATTAATCTTGAAAATGTTATTAATTTGAAATGCTACACAGCCCAGTACAACCTGATCTTGAATGTTTCCAGGGATGGGACACTCACCACTCTTTTAGGCAATCTGTTCTAGTGGTTCACCATCACCATCATCAAAAAAACCAAATGTATTCCTTCTATCTACTCTGAATTTACTCTGTTTAGTTTAAAACCATTACCTCTAGTCCTATTGCAACAGGGACTACTAAAAAGCCTGCCCAGCTTTCTCACAAGCTCTCTTCAAGTGTTCTACAAGGTTTTTCTGAGGCCTTCTCTCTTCCAGGCTGAAGAACCCCAACTCTCTCAGCCTTTCTGCACAGGAGAGGTGCTCCATCTCTCTGATCTCAATTTCTTCAATTGCGTCTCAATCCGCTACGGAGCAGCTGAAACATGTTCTTAATCACGTGCTGGCCAATAACTTAAAATAAGAGCAACAGCGAGCTGTATTTTGGTTTTCCGGTATCTCCTAGGTACCTGCCTCGGGAGTCACTCACCGAGCGGCAGCCCCGGCATTCCCCCGAGCCCGGGCACACACCGGGCCATGGCCCAGCCAGCTCCCCCCGCGCAGGGACTCACTGTACTCCTCCGGCAGCAGCAGCGGCCGGAAATAAATGGGGTAGAAGGCGGCTCCCACCACGGCCACGAAGGCGCCGAAGATGCCGAGGGTGCGGGCCAGCGCGGCCATGGCCCGGCGGAGGCGGAGCGGAGCCCGCGCGGGGCCTTCCGGGGCAGCGGCAGCGGTGCGGGACCGCCCGGCCCGCCCGAGCGCGCCCCCGCGCGGCCGGCGGGGCACAGTGCGGCTCGGGGCCGGCGCCGCCGCGCTGTCAGCCCGGCCCGGGCAGCCCGGGATGATGCGCCCCGGTCCCGCCGCCCCGCCCTAACGCGCCGCGCCCGACAGCGGAGCTGTCCCAGCCCGGGACTGCGCCGGTGGCGCAGCGCCGAGAAGGGAGGGCGGGACCGCCGCGGAGCCGCAAAGGGAGCGAGCGGGCGCGGCCCTGCGCGGGGATCCCTGCCGGGCGCGCCGCTCCCGGGACGCCGCCCGGCGCCTGCTGTACGGGGCTGCGAGGAGCCGCGCAGCACGGCCGGGGCTCGGCGTCTTCTGCCCCGGCTCCTCCGCACCTGCGGCGGCGGAGCGGGGCCCTGCCCTGCCCTGCCCTGCCCGGCGGCGGCCCCTCCTCCAGGAAGCCGGATCTGCCGCATCCTTGTCGCCGTCCCTGCCGCGCCGGGCACCGCCGCAGCGGCAGCATGCGGCCCCCGGCCGGGCCCCGCCGCCCGCCGCCGCTGCTCCTCGTCCTCCTCACGGTGAGTGCCGCCGGCCCCGCACCTGCCCCGCGTCCCGACCCGCCCCGGGCGTCCGGCAGGGGTCGGGCCGAGCGGGCCGCGGGTCGCAGCCCGGGGCGGAGGGGGCCGGGGCCGGGGTCCGACGGGGCTCGGCCGGGGCCGCCTCTCGGAGCCGGCCCGCGGCTGTCCGGCCCGGCTCCGGCCCCCTCCCAGCCCCCGCGGTGACCGGGGCCTCTCTTACTGAGATGGGGACGCCGAGTCGTCACATCCTAGCGTTGAGATTTCTGCCCTGGGTGACGATGAACTTCTAGAGTGGAAAAAATGGAGAGGCCTTTGACATCTGCTTAGAGATGCCCGACTGAACATACTGCTGCACTGGCTTATGGAAACAACCGTGGTGTAGGGCCAGTTACTAAACTACTTTTTCATCTTTTTTGTTGCTAAGCATAAGCTCTGGTCAAAATCTTTGTGTGCCTGTACCATGTTGGTGCTGATGGAGAGCAGCAGATCAGCACCCTTTTTTGTCATGTCTTCTTTTCACACATCGTAAAATGTAGCATGACCTGTTGGTCATCTGCAGGTGAAGAACTGCAGTTATCCTCAGGGTTTGTGCAAACAGGTGCAGGTTCCATAAAGTTATGTGGAATTTCTGCAAGGCTGAACTCATGGAGGGTCCTGTTGACATCTCTAGTAAATGAAAGAATACTTGCTCAATCATTTCTGTATTATTGCACTACTGAAAATGTTACGTTTCCTAATGCTTGCAGTGTTTGCCTCACACTTATCCCAAGATCTGATGGCATGACTTGGGCTAATGAATTAAGATTCAGCAGAATTTAAGAAAAGAAAACAAAAAATTTTTATAGCTTTAATGGTTAAGTTGCCCCACACACAAAGCCTTTATGTCTGCCTTGTTGAACTTTGCCTAGTTCATGATAATATTTTGGATCAGCATAGCTGGCCTCTTTAGTGTGCTGGAAAACTTTTATATTTAAGTTTCATAATCACACTCAATGTGTAAATTTTTCATCCTTGTTCTATGTCAGAGGTGATGCACATTTAACTCTTCCTTGTCTGATATAAGGGAAAGGAAGAGGCTTCCTCACCAAGCAGGAACATTTCGATGATACACACTCTATGCACTGTGTAGTGGCAACCAAGTGATTTTAGAGACTCAGCCGTGGTCTGGAAGTTTATAGTCTGCAGTCTCTGCCAGGCCTGTACCGTTGTGGGGTTGCTCAGGGTTCTTTGCTCCATGCTGTTTAGTGGATGAGCCTCCAGAAGGGTTTGTTAGGTGGGATGTAACAGCAGACTCAAATATACTTCATGCATTTTGGCAGTACAGGCCTCAAGTAATACCCAGGGACCAAAGAATATGAAGAAAAATGGGGAGCCATTTAGCAGATCAGGCACTACGGGAAAGGTACTAGATTAGCAGAGCTCAAGCTAAACTTAGGCATCAGCAATTGCATTGCATTGTGCTTAAGTGCTCTAGGAACATTATGGAAATTGTTCTGCAAAGACCTGGCTTTGGGTTTCAGAGCTTACCGAAACCACAAAATTTCTGCCATTCACTGGAAATCAGATGGACATATTCAGATGCTGCTGCATATTTGTTAATGAACTGTGCCAGACCCAGGCTGTCTTTGCTGGAGTATAGTTCCCATTGCTCTGTGTTGGATTACCACTGAACAAATTGAGAGCTGGCTGTGTGTGTTTTGACAGTAAGTGGGTGTGGTCAGCACACATTAGTACCCCTATGCTTTGTAGTATCTACCTGGTAGACTTCTGCATCTTGTGATAATGACATGGCATTGTGTTCATAGTATAGTACCATCTTCCTCATGACACAGCCCCCTTATCACAAAGATTAAGCTACTTACAAGTAGTCTTTATTGTAAGATCAAGAAATACTAATTATAACCATCAAGTACAAGAGGTTTAGGATAATTTGTTGCTACTGTTATGGGCTTTTAATGCTCGTGGAAGTATTTAAACCAAAGAAGAATTGTGTTTGAAGTGAAAAAGAATAATATCTTTTGTCAAGTGAAGCTCTGAAAGGTACTTGAATTAGTTTTAAAATCAAGGCTCTTTCATCAACTTTTATCTCAGTATTTGTGTATGTGTTATTCAGCATATGATGGACACCATACCATGTTTCAAGGGATACCAACTTCCTATTGCTATTTCTTTTTTAGCCCCTTCAGTTTGCATAGTTATTGCAATATCACGAAATCACAGAATATTCTGAGTTGGAAGGGACCCACAGGATCTTTGAGTCCCAACTCTTGAAGTGAATGGCCCATAAAGGGATCAAACCCACAACCTTGGCATTATTAGCACTGTGCTCTAACCAATATGAATTCTGTGGAGTGGGAAATAAGGCAGAGAGGAAGGCTGTCACTCTGATGAGGCTGCCAAAATACTGAGTTGCATAGGGTTTGTGGGTTCAAGGTGTAATCTTGGTGCTTAATGTGTTTATTGGTGTTCAGCATCATTGCACATCTCACTTGCAGTGTCTCTTGTCGGATACAAGAAGATAAAGAGCATTTGGTTGCAAGCAGGGGAAACGGTTTAAGTGACAAGCTCCCTAGGAACACTAAAAAAAGAGATCTAGAGCTACCCACGTGCTCACAATGATTTCTAGCTTTTTTGTCCAAAAGTTCCCTCATTCAGTTATGTCTTCCAATGTCTACCCTTAATAAAGTCAAGGTCTTGAAGTAAACAGCACCTCTGTGCATAGTTGTATTCCACTAACAGCCCTTGAGCTCTTTTGCACCTCCAAGGAGGCAGGGAACTGGGGGAAAAATAGCATTTGTTCACACAGGTGATCAAAAAATCCAAAAATCCTCATCTGTAGAGCAAGGAAGCAGTATAGGACTTAGCTCTGACTTTTCCTAATATTTACACCTTCACAGATCTTACTGGCTTGGTGTTTTTTCCATGTAGCTCTCAAGGAGTGTCAACATATTCTTAAGAAATAAAAAGCAAAATAGTTTAGGAACTTCTACTGATCCCCGCATTGGATTGTGGGCAAAGTCTAGTCCTCCAGGTGCACAACACATAATTTCTGTGATTAGAAATGTACTAATGACTAGACCAAACCCTTTAAATATTTTGGAAAACACAGTGAAAAAGGCATCAATACAAGATAGGTATCCAAGATAAATTTTATTTTTATTTCTTTAATCTTAGCAAAGTTAAAAGTTACCAAGACACATATAATTTTGAGCAATCTTAATGACCGTCTTCCCTGATAATCCTAAGTGACAATTGTGAATATTTTAGACAGACCAGGGGACGTGGTGGAGCTGCTGTGCTGGTGGCTTGCCCTCAGAGCTGAGTAATCCCCAGTATCCTTGGCAATGCATTAAGTTGGATGCTGACTGCAGGGCAGAAAGAAAAGGAGCTGTTTGAAGCTTTAGAGAAAAGAACTTCAGCATAGAGGATAATGCTGTTGTATGTCCAGGCACTCACTGTCAAACTATATATAATGTGCATAGCTGTGGAGAGCAAAAGCTGAGCAAATTCAGCCTGCTGGTCTTGCTGCTCAGATTTCCAAGTCCATCTTCAAGATAGGAACATTTCAAAAATTAAACACTTCACTAATATTAATTCATTCTCAGGGAGCCTTTGTTGTTACTTTGTCCTTCAGGGACGTGCATGACAGGTAACAAAATTAGCTAACTTTTTAAGAAGATACAGAAACATCAGGCTGTGGCAATCCTAGCAAACAATGATACATAATGAATATATGCCTGTACATTATCATGTACACTCCTTAGGCCTGATCCTAGGAGCATGTTTAAATAGTGTGACGTGTAAGCTGCTATCTTAGACCGGATTCCACTTGCGTCAGGGCTGAAGGGATACACCCTGTAAATACAGTTTGTTTGTAGAAGCATGTGTAACTTTGAGAACTTGATGTAGGGACATTGTTGCCATTAAAATCTTGATGGTGGCTCTCCAGTAATCCGTGTCTACTTGCTGGGTAAAAGAAACCTCATATTTTAAAGTATGATGTATATATGCTTGTGCAGTGTTCTGTTATTACTGTGAATATATGAATAATCACATAGATTCTCTGGTTAACATATTTGTGTTTTGGGTTTTCTTCCAGAACTTTGTGGTGTCTTTTGGAAAGGAGACATTACAGACAACGGCAGTTACTCCACAGTTTCAGAAGAATATGGATTATGTAGATTTTATCTATTTAAACATTTTAGAAAAGAAAGTTCTTAACAATTCTGAGGTTTCAGTTCAGTATTTATGTTCTAAGCCTTGTATTGTCAATTTAGAAGCAGTAGCTTCCTCCGAGTTCAGGACTGGTGTACCCGTGTATCGAAGGAGATGGAAGGATGAGAAGAACCTTTATGTTAGCAGAACTCGACAAGTACACTTGAAATTTCCAAGCATCATGGTTTA